TGGGGTCCCAGCGATGGACAATGTGCCCCCGTGCGCGTCCCCTCGCTCTCCGCACCTTTGGGGGGACGGGAGCAGAAGCGCTCGTACGACTCCAGCACGGAGCTGCAGAGGCGCGACGCGGCAGCCGCCACGGTGGGGGGGCGCAGCCCGGGGGGCCCCGCAGTGCAGAACTGGAAAGGGGGGGCAGTGGAGGGGGGGGGGTACAAAGTGGGGTGTACAGAGTGGGGGGGGGGGGGGTGTACAGAGTGGGGAGGGGGGGGGTGTACAGAGTGGGGAGTGGAGGGGGGGGTACAGAGTGGGGGAGGAGGGGTGTACAGAGTGGGGGGGGGGGGGGAGTACAGAGTGGGGGGGGGGTTACAGAGTGGGGGGAGGGGGGTCCAGAGTGGGGGGGGGTACAGAGTGGGGGAGGGGGGTACAGAGTGGGGGGGGGGGTACAGAGGGGGGGGGGGGTACAGGGTGGGGGGGGGTACAGAGTGGGGGGGGGGGGTACAGAGTGAGGGGGGGGTACAAAGTGGGGGGGGGTACAAAGTGGGGGGGGGGGTTACAGAGTGGGGGGGGTACAGGGTGAGGGGGGGGTACAGAGTGGGGGGGGTACAAAGTGGGGGGGGGGGGTACAGAGTGAGGGGGGGGTACAAAGTGGGGGGGGGTACAAAGTGGGGGGGGGGGGGTACAGAGTGGGGGGGTACAGGGTGAGGGGGGGGTACAGAGTGGGGGGGGGTACAGAGTGGGGGGGGGGTACGGGATGAGGGGGGGTACAGGGTGAGGGGGGGAGTACGGGGTGAGAGGGGGGTTACGGGGGGGTACAGGGTTAGGGAGGGAGAATGAGATGCAATCTATTTTGTCTGTTTTGTCAACAACTACCCACTGACGCACAAGTCGATGTTAGTGTTTTGTTTACACGCGTGGCGCCTTTATGGCACAAATCTGCCACTTTGTTGAAAGACAAAGATCGCCCCTGAAACCTGAAGAGACCGTTGGGCAAGTGCTGTTGGTGAGCACCGATGAAGGCCGGGACGGCAGATGAGGAAGTGGGTGGCCAGCTCCACGCCCGGCTGCCTTTGTCTCCCTCGTGGTGATGTTTACCCACCGCACCAGGCCCGGGACTCGTTCACATATTCGGCACTGTTATTGGTCGCGGTCAGGAATCGAACTCAGCTCGCTGGGTTCGGAGCACAGGGTTCTAACCACTGTGCCACTGCTCCCCACTGAATACCACCCAGCCACGGTATGGGGTGGCATCCATCCAGCAGTGTATTCACAAAAGGACTGGACACATCTGTAGTGATGACAACGTGTTCAGCCCAAATCCTGCGTTTTCGAAAGTTTCTCGCCGGCAATGACCAATCCACTGCTGGATGAAGGCCTCCCCCCAAGCCGCCGCCGTCTCTCATGGTCCTGCCATGTCGCAATCCAGCTCAAGGCAGCCGGTCTCTTGGCTCCATCTCCACACTTGGATCATACTTCTAGTCTGGAAGGGGACGCACTCGGAAGCACGTCCGTCGCGGAGATGGAACGTTCAAATTAGCACGTGTGCAGGTGCAGGCTGGATTATTACGACATCATGAGAGATGGCGACGCCTTGGGAGGGCCTTCATCCAGCAGTGCATTGATCGCGGCTGACGATGGTGATTATGATGAAATGGACAGACAATTGTCAACATAATGTAAAATTATCAACTCTTCATTTTAAACCTCAAGAGTCGAAGTGGCGGCCTGAGATGGCTGCAGGGGCGACGTGAATCCATTTCGGACAAAATAAATTAAAGTGCACAGCCCTTGGTAAATCCACTGCTGGATGGATGCCCCTCACCCCCCCCCCCCCCCCCCCGTGCCCAGCCGTGGCCCCTCCCGTCACGAGGTTCAGACGCTCCTGAGCCGTGACCACGGCCGTCACGTTCTTTGTCCACAGCCGAAACTCATTTCCCCTTCGTCAAAATGACTCAGCAAGAGTGCCGGCACGGGCTATGGCGGAGCGTTTTTGGTGTTTGGAGATTACACTTCCTAAAGTTATTTGGTATATCGCCAATAATTATCGCCAACATATAAAATAACGCGTTTCATGTCGAAAAATGAGGATGCATTGAATAAGTGTGTTTTATCATAATACATAATTGACGCTTGTAAAGCGCCTTTCATCAACTCTCGAGGCACTCTATCGATGTATATCGCCGGAAATCTCACAGGTGCATGACGAAACAAACGCAGCCAGGAGGAATAGGACGCGTGCGGTGTTTAGCCGCACGTGCGCAGTGCCAGCCAGGAGGGGAGGAGGGAGATCAAGGACTGCAGGCCGGCGAGGTTCGCGCCGGCCCATCAGTCGGTACAGCACAAGCGGTAGAACGAGCATCGGCAACGTTCAAGAGCGGCGTGTTTACGTTGAACAATTAAACACGATTCATACCTCTTGATTTGAAGCTTTCGTGACTGCAGGAATCCATAGTCTTTGGTTCTTTGGGTAAAGTCACGTGGGTAGAAAAATAAAATACCGACGTGACTTTACCGAAAGAACCAGAGTACGATTCATACCTCTTGATTTCACCATCATGTGGATAATTGATGCACTAAATAAGTTTTATGGTGCGATAACTGAGGATATACAGTGCTAAATCAAGTGTGTTAAAGGATACACTGCATTGTACAAAAACAAACACATGCATCTTATAAACCGGTAGATGCATGTTATGACAGATTTGTAGAACTGCATTGACGTGGGGGACACATTTGGGATGCGTCTTTACTGACGCCTCTCATCATCGGAACGATGCGATGGCATCGCAGTCGCAGGCACGGAGAAGCGGGTAGCGAACTGCACTGCAAGTTCGACTCCCAGCCACGGCTAACACATCAATTGTGATGATCCGAAACTGGTCCTGGGTCTCCTCCCCCATCCTATCTGTCCGGGTTAACGATCAGGAAAATATTTCCACACCCGGCACTCCACATCCAGGACGCCTCTCGTCAAATGTCAGTGACGTCGCCATGCTGAAGCCAGCAACCGCCGATATCCCAACTTTGAATTCCAGTTGAAGCTCCGTGAGATACAAACTAAAACTCAACATTGTCCAAAACGTCGCCTGCTATCATTTAGTTATTTTATGCTGACAGAGTTGTTGTTGGTGTGTGCTTGTGCACCAATGCCAACGCATCATCGTCAAACAATTCGTGATCAATCCGGGTTTCTCCGAGTAGAGAGAGTTGTGTGGTCTTGGCTCAATTGCCGATGTTTAAACAAATCTCACCCGGGGTTCATTCTCGAATGACAACCTCGTTGCATCATCACGGTGATGTGCGCCCGGTTTCATCAGAGACGCGAGCACTGCCGAGCCTGACACTCGGCGCTTGGATGAATGAACAAGACGCACAAGGCAGGTTTATTATTGAGTTTAACACGGAGGCTTTCGCCACCAATATCATCCATGATACAGGTTGTTTGGGTTAGATCGCGTAAATGTGTCGTTAAACCCGCCACCACCCGAAACGTCGTGCTCAGATTCTAAATGTTGTGGATTGGCTCTCCAACACACAACCGGTTAGTGCTGTACTAGTATATTACACTATACACTAGTGCTGTACTAGCATACTACACTATACACTAGTGCTGTACTAGTATACTACACTATACACTACACTATACACTAGTGCTGTACTAATATACTACACTATACACTACTATATACTACACTATACACTAGTGCTGTACTAGTATACTACACTATACACTACACTATACACTAGTGCTGTACTAGTATACTACACTATACACTACACTATACACTACACACTAGTGCTGTACTAGTGACGAATTGGCCACGTTCTGTTTACGTGACAACCCTTACTAGTTGGCTGTGTCGGGTGGTGGCGGGTTTAACGACACATTTATATATTTACGCGATCTGACCCAATAAACCCCCTCTATTATGGAGGTGTATTATTGATATTATTTGCACGCGTGTTTACCCAGGCAAGGCCTCAGGCGACCTCAGGCTACTGCCACTGGGCCATGAGGTTGGCACCAGAGGACAGTGAGATTTCATAATAACGTCTCCGACAGCACCATCGGGATACATCATAAACATGGTCACTCTACTGCTGGATGAAGAGCATCTCCCACGATCCATGTAACCATAGCTTAAGATGCAAATGGAGGACGAAATAGCAAAACAAAGTTTGGTAACAGTCAACAACCATCCTGCTTTCTGGCTCCCTCTCACGCAGCAACGCTGCCCTGTGCCGGCGGCGGCGGGGGGGGGGTCACGGGGGTCAAACACGAACCTCTCGCAGGGTCCCGGGGGTCGCGATGCCTCTCCGCGCTCCTCCGCGCAGGAGGCGGCAAATCCCGGCCACGGAGCCGCAGGGCCGAGCCATGGCAGCCGGGGGCGAAGCGCCAGGCCAAGCGGCGTGCTCCTCGAGGCGTCTCTAAAGGCGTCCGTCCCGGGGCCTCGGCGTCTGCGGGGTTGTAGAGGTTCCGGTGCGAGTGTTAGGGGGCTTCTGGGGTCCCGGTACCATTCGGGGTCCCGGGGTTTCAGTGTTATGGTTTCTCGGCGTCTCGGGGTCTCGATGCTAAAGGGTCGCTCCGAGTCTCATTATCAGGGCCTACAGGGATGCCAGTGCGGGGTTTAGGGATCGCGGGGTCCGAGTGTTACAACTTCACGGGTCTGGAGGTCTCCGTCTCGGGGGTCTGTCGTGGTATCAGCGTCAGGCTCTCGGGGTCTCTGGCGGTGTCTCTGTGGGTACCTGTAGGGGTCCCTGGGGGTCCGTGTGGGGGTCTCGGGGTCCGTGTGGGGGTCCCTGTGGGTACCTGTCGTGGTCTCGGGGTCGGTGTGGGGCCTGCGGCCTCCTCTCGCGCTCTGTCTCTCTCTCCCTGACTGACCGCACTGTCTGTCTGCACTGTCCGCGTGTCTTGCGTAAAGAAGCGGCGGCCCCACGTGACGCGCGCCCGCCGCGCTTCCCATTGGACGCGGGGTGGGGACGGGCGCGGCCAATCAGAGGCGCGGACACTGCGGCGCCGGTGACGTCACGGCGCGGGCTCTGATCACGGCCGCGCTTCTCCCCTCGCGCGATTCACGGCGGCGACAGCGGCAGCAGCAGCGGCAGCAGCAGCGGTAGCGGCGTTGAGCGTGAGAGAGAGAGAGGCCGGAGCGACACCACACGAAGCCGCGATGCTCATCAAGGTCAAGGTGAGGAGCGGGGGTTGGCGACGGGGGAGGGTGGACAGGGAGCGGCACCCCGCGGAGGGAGCGCGACCCAGGCCCCTCTCAGACCTGACACTCGCCTAGTCCCGGGGACACAGAGATAAACTCAGGGACACAGAGACAACCCCAGGGACAGAGAGACAAACACAGGGACAGAGAGACAAACACAGGGACACAGAGACAAACACAGGGGCACAGAGACAAACACAGGGACACAGAGACAAACACAGGGACACAGAGACAAACCCAGGGACAGAGACAAACCCAGGGACAGAGACAAACCCAGGGACAGAGACAAACCCAGGGACAGAGACAAACCCAGGGACAGAGAGACAAACCCAGGGACAGAGAGACAAACACAGGGACACAGAGACAAACACAGGGACACAGAGACAAACACAGGGACACAGAGACAAACACAGGGACACAGAGACAAACCCAGGGACAGAGACAAACCCAGGGACAGAGACAAACCCAGGGACAGAGACAAACCCAGGGACAGAGACAAACCCAGGGACAGAGAGACCCAGGGACAGAGACAAACCCAGGGACAGAGACAAACCCAGGGACAGAGACAAACCCAGGAGCAGAGACAAACCCAGGGACAGAGACAAACCCAGGGACAGAGACAAACCCGGGGACAGAGACAAACCCGGGGACAGAGACAAACCCGGGGACAGAGACAAACCCGGGGACAGAGACAAACCCGGGGACAGAGACAAACCCGGGGACAGAGACAAACCCGGGGACAGAGACAAACCCGGGGACAGAGACAAACTTAGGGACAGAGACAAACCCAGGGACAGAGACAACCCCAGGGACAGAGACAAACCCAGGGACAGAGACAAACCCAGGGACTGTTTAACTCGGGACTTTAGGGAACCCGGGGCAGAGAGGGACCCAGGGGCAGAGCGATGCCCGTGGACTGAGAGACACGGGGACTGAGAGACTCCAGATCTGGAATCTGACACCTTAACTCTAAGACTCGAGACACTAAAGTCCATAAGAATGTGACTTTAACTCTGAAACCCCTTTATTGTTTCGACCATAAACACCTAATATACCCAAACACTCGTATCCTTCAGACCGTATCACTGAATCACTGGGATCCCTAACACTGGGACTATTAGAAACTGGGATCCCGAGATCTCTGAGACTCGGACCCCTAGAGATCTAAAGACTGTAACCCAGAGAATCCTGAGACTACATTACCCCGAGACCTTTGAGTCTCCGAAGCTAAATAACTGGATTTTGTATGTATGTTGAATTTATTTCACACCGTACATAGCCAACCGTGTTAATCGGAGGTACGTGGGAAGGACAACAAACTAAGCACAAAAAGCAGTTGTAAATAAATAGTTTTTTAATTTAGAAAATTTAAAATACAGAAACTTATATTGGAGCCTGCAAGAGTTTCTGACTCATAACTACAGACTCGGGGACTGCGCCCTGTGTCTCATCATGTCTCCCCGTGTCACAATGTAACACGTCTCACAATGTAACATGTCTCCCCGTGTCTCCCCGTGTCTCCCCGTGTCTTGCAGACGCTCACAGGGAAAGAGATTGAAATTGACATCGAGCCAACGGACAAGGTACTGCTCCCCGCTCTCTCCCATGTTACGCTTTGAATCGCGTGTTAGCATCAATGTTTTTTTACTCGTACACATTATGTCTGGGCGACCAGCTTCTTGAAGCTTGGTCAGACAACCCCCAAGACCAACGAGATTTGTCTTCTGAGCACTGCATCGGCCCTCTACCCCCCCTCACCTCCCGCTTAACCCCCCAGGTGGAGCGGATCAAGGAGCGCGTCGAGGAGAAGGAGGGAATCCCCCCTCCTCAGCAGCGGCTCATCTTCAGCGGCAAACAGATGTAGGAGCTCCCTTCTCTCTCCAGCCGCATGGATCTCTCTCGTTGTCTCCGTTTCACCAGACGGCGGGAACCCAGTCAGACTTCGAGTTTGGTGCCAGGACAACCAGCGGCGTCAACAGCAGTACTATCAGAATCTAGATGAATCGACGCACGAGTATACTCATGACTCACAGCAAGAAGGGACCTGGATTCGATTCCTGACTCGTGTGCCTTTCTGTGTTGAGCGTGTATGTTCTCCCCCTGTTTAGTTTGGGTTTCCTCAGTGTTCTCCGGTTTCCTCCCCCATAGTTAAAAAAACATACAATATCATTGGTCCATAATAGAGGTTTTTTGGGTTAGATCACGTAAATATATGAATGTGTCGTTAAAACCCACCACCACCCGACACAGCCAACTGGTAAGGGTTGCCACGTAAACAGAACGTGCCAATTTGTCACGTGTTAAACTAAATCACCCCTCCTGCAAACACTTGTCAAGAGCCTACTAAAAAATAGTCTTGAGACTCATTGAGGCTTCCCTGGGTAAACAAGTGTAATGTTAATAATAGTTAGTCGTGGTGATTTGGTTCAAGGAAAGATGTGGCCCTTTGGTGATTTTTACAGTGATTTTTACAGTGAGCGTGACTTGCGAAAAGGGAAGGCGTTGTCCATAGCCGACTGCGGTTAGTATTTGAGTGTGGAGTGATGTCAAATGTGACAGGCGTATTTGTAATGCTTGTGAGAGGTGTGTGTGTGTGCTAAGTGGTTGAATGCTGCATGATATTTTAGTGCCGATTAATGGTATCGGATAAAAAGGCTTAATGTAAGGCGGCAGGGGCTTCTGAATCTTGTTTGGTATAGCTTACAGAGGCCTACCCTCGTGTCTAAATGACCATGCACGGCGGGTTCCGTGCCACAGCCTGTGCCGCCTCCCCGCCCCACAAAAGGTTTTCCTCGAGCTGAGAACAGCTGTTGTAAGATTTGTGGGAAGGGGAAATGTGGTAAATAGTTAAATGCTGACAGATTTTATATTTTAGTGTGGTAGAATTGTGTATAATGTATAGATGCTTATGAGAAGGGGAAGTGTGGTAAATGTTTTAATACTTTATTAATCTTTGTGTGGTTTGATGTATACGCTCGAGAAGATGCGAATATGCTGTTGCGTTAATTGACAAACCAATGCATTGCTGCTGCCAGTGCAGTCCTGTAATTATTACTCAAATGAGTTTCTTGCCTTCACGTTCTGCCCGAGAGCTTCCACATGCTGACCTCGTCCATTTCCTCGTAGGAACGATGAGAAGACGGCCGCCGACTACAAAATCCAGGGCGGCTCCGTGCTGCACCTCGTGCTGGCGCTAAGGGGCGGCGTCTGATGGCGCCGCCGCCATCGCACCCCTCCCCGCCTGCTGCTGGTGGTCCCAACCCCACCCGGACCCATTGACCTCAACCCATGACGATGCATGCCACCCACCTTGGTTGCGATGTCCACTGCAGCCAGCGCGACTGCGTTGTCTCTCGACGCAAGGGCGCCCTTCCAGCCACCTCCGCGTAGCTCCCCCCAACGTTTACGTTTGCCCCTCGCACCGCAAGGCTCGACGGCCTGCCACTCTATCAACGGCGCCCCCCCTCCGCCCCTGCCCCCCCACTTACAGTTCATTCTCTTCCCCGGTTATATTGCAGATATGTTTGTAAAAGCTCCATTAAAAGTTTGATCCTGTTGTTGTTGACGCCCGTGTGTGCGTCTGTGGCATCCAGGCTGGAGCGATGGTGCAGTGGTTATCAAACTGCGCTCCTCACCCAGTGGCGTGATTCTCGCCACGGATAATATCTGTTGTGACCATCTGAACCAGCACTGGCTTCCCTTCCAAGGTCTCTCCGAGTCAGCCACCCAGAATACATTAACACATCCAGCACACCTCTCGTGATGGCTGTGGCTATGAGTCACGGTGACGGTCGTTAATCTACCAGCAACCCGGAAAATATCCGGTGTGAAAGTCAGCCCTGGTGGTGTCACTCGGGATCCGGTGTCTAAATGTGCTCAGGGTTGAAGCCATCGCCGTCTCCCGGGCGTCACCTTGAGTCGAGTTCACAGGTCGCCTGCAACAGGCGGTACGGCTGAGGTTGGCGCAACCTCCACGCGTCGCGGTGGATAACCTAGCGGGGTTTTGCTACTGCAGGCCTCAGGCAGTGAACAAGCCGAGACGTGTGCAGGCGATGCACAGATGTATACAGGGACACACACACTCATTCAAGTACATGTGCACTCGCGAAGATCTCGTGTACCGCAAACCGGCTGTTAGGGCCAGTGCTGTTATCGAGAATGTATTAAGGCCGACACGGTGGTGTGTCTAGCATCATGCTCAGTTGCCATTGTCTGATTATACGCAGGTTTTTTGCGCATCAGTGGAGTTGTGCAGGTCATAGGATCTGCGATGTTTGTTCCCCGGATCACACCGGATGAGAGGAGTTCTGTACTTTGCTTCCAAGTCTGTGCTCCATGCCTTCAACCCACACTGACAAGCATGGCCAAGGATGGTCAAACGACCACTTCGACCGCAATAGATTGAAGACGAGGCTGGAAATGTAGCCACTCGGTGCTCTCTACGTACTTCTGTATTTGGGCCCTGCAGTGTTCACGAACAAGGCAGCCCAGCATTTCACTCTTGTCATTCTATTCCTTGCCGACACCTGCCGGGTCCTCCGTGCAGGACTGGCAGTAGGGGGCTGCTGGAGTGGGCCCTGAACCACCAAATATCCCTTTGGCCAACCCCAAGCTCGCTCTCCTCCGTCGCGGTGACCCGCTGTGGTGGGCCCCACACGGTCACGCTATCCGGGACCCTCTTCCAGAGGAGCTGCAGCTGCCTCCGAAAGCACCGCCCGACAGCTCTTCCTCGCTTGTCCCCTTCCTCCAGGCTGCCGCAGCAATGCCTCCTCCAAATGGACCGATACAATAATACAAATGCACTGACATCTGCCAATCAACTGCTGGGTTCAGGCCTCCCCCATGCTATGTCAGTCGAGGTTGTTTGACCGAACCTCACGCTGGTGAGTGTGGATCGGTGAAGTAGGTGGTGCCCAGGACTGGTTCGTACATTCCTGGTCACCGATGTTATCTGTGGCTAGCACCTGACTTAGTATGGCGGGTTTATAGCGCAGCGTGCAAACCGCTGCAGCCCCACTTGCTCCATCGAGCCGGTTCCGATATTGCGTCATCACGATGGGGGCAGTTGACTTCGTAAACCGGCATCAGGGTCGGCATCTCAAGACACGCTTGCATGTAGATGCTGTCTAAATCTGTGGTGCAGGGGCTACAAAGTGCGTGATGAACCCGTCGGCCCGAGCAAGTTTCATTCCCGGCCATAGCCAATATCGGCGGTGGGCGATATCCAACTTGGTACCGAGTTCCCATTTCTTGGCCTACCAACACGAACCGGCGTGGTAAAGCTTCGTCGTACAACAGCCCCACGATGTGCACAGCGAGGGGAGGTCATGGATTGACAAAAGGAGCCATGCATTATCATTTTATTAAATCCAAAAAAGCCCCCGTGTTTGTATCAAGAGAGGGCGGCACGGCGGTGTCAAGCATACTCTGCGTTTATTCATCCGTTACAAAAAACATAGAAAACGAGCGCGTGGAAGACGCGAGGAGGCTCCATCCGCTGGCACCGCGCACCGCTGCCCGGCGCGAGCCCTGGCCGCTGGGGCCACCTCGCCTCGCCGGTGCCGCCCGCATTAGCCGGGAGCGGCACGCACGGCCGCTCTGGGTCGGGGATGGGGGAGGGGGCGCGGGAACATAAATCTCTTTGGTTTTCAGCATTCAAATCGAGCGGAGGGAGGGGATGACGAGGGCACTGCTGCCATGCTTGGGAAATAACGCGGAGGCCAAATCAGTTGCGGTTGGGTCTACGATTAAAGATCAGGGTTTGGTTTGGGATAGGCTTAAGATAGGGTTAGGGATAGAGTTGGGGTTATGGATATCGTTAACGACAGAGATATGGCTCAGAGGTTAGGAATTGCTGTATGGTTTGGGTCGAGGCTACCGATTTACTGCAGCGCCGTTTTCCAAATAGGTCATCATTTCGTGGCGACCTCGGCACCCATCCCAACACCACCGGCAAAGACGCGTCGGTTGCCGCCATTACCCAACCGGTCCTAGTCGAGATGCTCGGCCGCACCGGGCACCGGGCGGCGGTGACCGGCTGCTCGTGTGACCGATGGGCAGGGCTTGCCAGACAGGCTGGTGCGTCGAGAGGAAGATGCGGCGAGCCGAGTCGGTGGAACGGATTCACCGAGGCGACTCCGCCGAGAGAAGATGCGCGGAAGGCCCCGCGCGCCGTGGCCTCATGAAAAAGCCTCTTGCTGAAGGCCACAGTAAACCCCACGGCAAATTCAGGGCAATCGTTGCCGGCAATGGTTGCTGCATCATTTTACTATTGTAAATTAAATGTAGTCACCCAAATCTGAAAAAATCTCATCGCTGCTTCAATTTCCGATCAGACGGCGCAGGTACGTGACTACCCGAGGTTGGATGCTGCGTCAACCAATCAGTTCATCAAACGCGCCGTCTTCAAATTGTTTTCACTGGCTGGACAAAACCCCCAAATCGCTCTCCGCCACTACTGTAACAAGTTGCCATAGTTGCTCAAAGTAAACGTGTTCCTGGCGACAATTTCCCCAACGTTGCTCAAGCGCATCATGGCTTGAACGCAACTCGGGAATCGATGATCCTCCTGCCCCGAGTGGGAACACGGGAAAAATAACAAGAACAGCATCGTAATCATAACAATAACATGAGCAACGACATTGCCGGTAATCTGATTTCCATCAAAGCCCAGTGTGAACATTCATGCAGGCGAAGCTAGAGCACCCTCCAGTTCATTCGTATATAAATATATAATATATGTATAGAAAACACACAAACCTAACGCCTGTACAATTGACACCGTTATTACTATGAAAATAAGCATGGCTTTCTCAAGGCTTCGTCGGCTGTGGCTGCGCCGGCCCGTGGCATCGCCACTTGCCTGGCCAGGCACGCACAACCGCCGCATGTATTGCTCGATTCTCAAAACTGAGGAAGGCACTCGTGAGTCAATGGCGAGGCGGCGAATCGCTTTTGTGACATTCCCCAAAGCGCCATAATCCGTCGGTCGCCAAACAGCCGGCGTGTTAGCGGTTTTCTTCTCTCGCTGGTGTCCGGGTCGCTGGTGCAGTGACCGGGGGACGAAGGCAGAAGGCACGGTCCCCCCTTGGCTGCTCCCCTTTACCCTGGGGTCTCCTGGGTCCTCATGGACCCCTGAGTAGCCCCCGACTGTGTAGCGGACGTCCTCCCAGCGCTTCACGATCTCGCCCGTCACTCCCCCGCAAGGCACCGTCAGTTTAGGGAAGCGAAAGCTGGGCAAGGCGGGCTTGACGCGACCGCTTGCGCTGCCCCCCATTGCCGTCTTAACACAAGGCACAACACGGTGGACTCTGGCCGCCCCTGGCTGCCCCCAGCCGGCGGCCGTAGCCTAAAGAACCCGACCCGGTGACACGAGCCACTCGCGTCGTCGCCACATTAATACTGCCTGCTCCTGGCGCGCACACGCGGTCCACGCCGGCATAAAGTGCCGCCCGACCCGAACCCCGTCGCGCCGGGCCCCGTGTCGCCAAGTACCGGCGCCGCACGAGCCGCGGCGGCGCCCGGAGACCAGCTACGAGGGAATACTGCGTGCGCGCTCGTGCAGGGAAGGAAGACGTCCCGGCGACGGCAGGAAGATGGAACCGGCGTGGCTGACCTCCCGACCTCCCGCGGTGCGCAAACCCCAAATTTCACCCCGGACGGAGCGGACTATTGAGCCGATGCGTCGGCGGCAGCGCTCACACGCCGAGCAGCTGTGCGGCAGAGTCGGCCGACTCGAGCATCTGTTCCAGGACGGTGCCGTCGGGCAGACCCAAGAGGCTCTTGATGATGTCGGAGCGGCGGGCGCGATCGCGGGCCGCCGCCAGGCCCCCGGAGGCACCGGCGGCGCCGGCGTCCGCCGTTCTCCCGGCGCCCAGGGCTCCCGCGGCGACGCCCCAGCAGCCCAGCGTAAGCGTCGGAAACGGCACGGTGGCGCCAACCTGCAGAGAGCGGCACGAACGCGTCAAGTGTGTATGCGGCCAGCCATAATTTGATTCCTCACCTAACGGAGCCCCAAGGCGCTTTATAAGAACGTAGTGGTGGGACTGGGGGGAGGGAAGCGACACCATGGAGCCGAGCAGCCGGAGCTGAGCAGCCGGAGCCGGGCAACAACAAAGACGGCGACAAGCCCCAGGGGCAGCACCGATGGGTCTCAATTCGCCCGCCCCCTCAGCCACGTCGCTGCTGTGTGTACCGACGCCGGTGATGCAGATGCACTGCCAAACAAACAAAGCGCAAAACGGCCTCCCTGCGGCCGGCGCCCCCACAGAGCCACGCACGCTCACCGACTGGAAGAACGAGCCCTGGATGACCTCCCCGGGGTCGCGGGTTTCCCGCGGCGGGCTGGGGGCCCCGTCGTTCGGCGGCGGCGACGCCGTTCCGGGAAGCTGCGCCGCCGGTGGCGGTGTCGTCGGCGCCGGCAGGAGGCACCGGGGCCCCGGAGGCCGCCAGGCCTCGGCGCGGCCGCCCTTGTCGTGGATGCGGCGGTGGCGCACGAGGCTGTGCTTGAGGGTGAACGTGCGCTCGCACGTGTCGCACTTGTACGGTCGCTCGCCTGGAGGTGCGGATGCCACACACACAACACGGCCGCGTTGACAATCCGACACAGCACTTGTGCGTGGAGTTAAACTTAAAGTGTGGGCTTTTATAGGAGGGTCCTGCCAAATTTTTTGCAGTAGGGGGAGACGTTGCTGTTTGGCATGTTTTCCAATACCACTGTGTGTATTTTTGTAGCTATAGGAGGAAACAGCAAAACCCAGGGGAAACCCACACAGAACAGGGGGAGAACAGAGGAACTCCACACAGGAAAACGCCCGAGTCGGGAATCAAACCCAGGTGCCTCTTGCTGCGAGGCGGGAGTGTTGCCACTGCGCCACCACGCTGCTGCCCATAAATGGATCACCCAGTGGTATGGCGTGCGGGAAGAGCGACGCGTCGCGAAGGCCTCCTCACCCGTGTGCGACCTCATGTGCCGCGTGAGATCCTGCAGCGACCAGAACCGCTTGTTGCAAACCTCGCACACTTTCTTCCTCTTCTCTCGCTCCTTCCCCCCCCCGGCCTCGCCCCCCTCCGGGGCTCCGTCTCCACGCTCGACGTCCCCGGCCGCCGTCCCGTCCTCCCCGACATCCTCGCCGGCCCGAGCGGCACCGTCGCCGTGCTCCGACCCCCGCGAGCCGTGCTCCCGAGACTCGCACCGCGCGTCCCGGGAAGAGCCGCCGCCGCGACGGGCACCGCCACCGCCCCTCTTCCCCCGCTTGTCCCGCGCCGTCACGGCAATGCCGCCGCCGCCGCGAACGGTGGCGGGGACGACGGCGTCGGGCAGCGGCCCCGACGGGAGCAGCTTGGCAAGTGTTTGCCGGGCGGCAGCCGCCGCCGGCGCTGCCGCGGCGGCGTGGCGCTGCGCGTGCCGCTGCAGGTTGAACTTGGTGGTGAAGGTGCGCTCGCACTGGGGGCAGCGGAACGGCCGCTCGGCCGTGTGCACGCGCCGGTGCCGCGCCAGCACCGCACGGTGCCGGAACGTTTTCCCGCAAGACTCGCACACCAGCAGCGCCGCGGGGACGCTACCCGCCGCCAGGGGCCTGACCGGGCCCCCCAGCGCCGCCGCCGTGACCTCCGTCGGGATCGCCAGGCCTCCCACGCCGGTGCCGCCAGGGCCCAGCTTGAAGTCGATGAGTTTGGCGGCGAAATCAAGGTCCAGGCTCTTGTTGCTGGACGTGTCGTCATCGGGGTCGTCCCACCCTTCCGACCCCTCCCCCTGCTCCTCCTCTTCGTCGTCGTCATCATCGTCGTCCATGTTGTTGGCATCGTCGCAGTTTCCATTTGTCGCGGTTGCGAATCCGTTGGCGAGCGCCGGGAACTCCGTTTTGATTTTTTGCGGCGAGATGGAGGTCCCTGCATCGGCGTGAGTCACGGAAGAGATGGACGATGACGGCGGCGGCAGGGGCGATGGTTGTGATGGCGATGGTTGTGATGGCGTTGGTTGCGATGGCACCGTCGGTAGTAGTGGTGGTGGTGGAAGTGAAGGTGGTGACGGCGAAGACGGCGGCGTTGGTGGCGGTGCTAGCCCCGGCAGCGGCGATGGAGCTGGCGACGATGGCAACGGAGATGGCCGTGGCGATGATCGCGGTGATGGCGGCGGAGAGGTCTTAGTGGCCGGTCCCGTGGAGCCGCGTCCATCGTCACCCTCATCGTCCTCAACGATCTCCAGTTTCACGGCGAGTCCCGGCTCCATCGCCTTCTCCTCCACGGACTCCATGCAGATACACCGTGGGGAATCTGCAAAGGACGGCCATACCCGTTAGCACTTGGAACGCATTCAGTGGACTCGCAGACGCAAAAACAAACTTCTAACAACACGGCACACACGCGGGCAGGCTCCCCGACACGCCGCCCGACTTATTTAGAGCGAGACCTCCTCGGTTGCCAAACTGGAGCTCGTCATGTGCACGCTGCCACGGTTACAGTATGGGAACTCTACCACCCTCTCCGCAACCGGCATTGCTCATGGCGAGTTGAGGGGGTGAAGCACTCGATGTCACAGGCAGATTCTTTGTCTTGTGAAAAGTTCAGAAGATTTTCCAACTCACCAAATCATCAGCATACATAACAGGATCGATCAGTAGGAAGACAGCAGAACCAGCCCCCCAGGAAAGCTCAAAACAAGATTCTGTCAGGAACAGAGGGCATCTGTGTCACACCCCAGGGTGAAGACTTACAGCTTAAATGGGGTCTTTATGATCGTGAGTCGAGAGCAGACAAACACCAAGGTCCGCGATATAGCCATTTGTCTGTTGGGCCAAGTGTTTATAACGAGCACCTATTTAGGCTGGCACGGTGCATAAACGGGTGGTGGATGATCAGCACCACGGCCAGCCGCCTTTGTTCCCCAGTGCTGGTAATTACACACCAGCATGTACTGGTGGTAGTGAGCAGGAATCAAAACTCGGGTCACCAGGTTCCAAGCCACAACACTACACACTGCCCATGCACAAAGATCTCCCATATGGACTGTGGGGGCATGTTCTGTTAGGGAGCACCCGTGTACCCGCAAACACACGCACACACACGCGCGCATACGCGTACACACGCGCACACACGCACACACACGCGCCCACACGCGCACACACACGCACCCGGTGGGCTGGCCTGGCCCCCGATGGCGCCGTCGCACCCCAACTGCCACGGCGTGGCGGGCGTGCCGCCCTTGCCCATGTGTTTGCGTGTCAAGTGGCGCTCGCAGTTGGACTTGGTGGAGAAGAAGGCGCTGCAGTGCGGGCACGGGTACGGCTTCTGGCCTGGGAGGCACGGGCGCGACACGCGTGACGCGATCAGTGACACGCGCGGCGCCGTCGCGGCGCCGGCGCGCTCTCCCTGCGCGACGCGGGGGGTGCGGCTCGCGTGGCTGGCAGCGAGCGCAGCGTGCGGCGCGTGCGGCGCCACCCGTCCCTCACCGGTGTGCGTCAGCATGTGGCGCTGCAGCGAGCTGATCCAGGGGAAGAGGCGCGGACAGTGCGGGCACTTGAGTCTGTGCACCGAGTTGGAGTACGTGTTCCTCTTCAGCCCGCCCTGGCGCTCAAACTCCCCCCCCTCCGCCCCATCCTCATCCTCCTCTTCCAAACCTCCGTCGCCACCGTCGGCGCCGTCTCCGCCGGCCGGAGGCCGCTCGGGGGTGCGGTGGCCCCCGTCGCTCTCCCCTTCCCCGCCGGACCCCCCGGATCCCCCGGTGCCGGCCGAGGGGACGCGGGGACGGGGTGGCGCCGGCGGAATTATGCCGGCGCCGGCGGCTTCCAGGAGCACCATGAAGCGACTGGAATCCATCGAGTCGAGCATGCGCTCGATGCTCGCAAACTCCCCGCTCGAGTCCAGGTCCACCGCCTCGGAGCCCACGCCCTTGCCGCCGCCAATGACGCCGTCGCCAATGACGCCGCCGCCGCTCTGACGTCCGCTCCGGGCGCCGGGCTCGTACGACCGTCTCCGACGCTTGGCTGCCGGCCGAGGGCCGGTGCCGTTGGCCAGGGCGGCACGCGCGGCGTTGGAGGGGCGGCCGCGCTTGCGCACGGCGGGCGCCGAGTCGGCGGCGGTGCGGCGGCGCCGTTCGCTCTCGAAGCTCGGCGGCCCGGATTCTCGGCGCGTGGCGCCGTTGGCGCGACCCGGGTCGCCCCCCTCCTTCTCCTCCCCAGCTCCGGCCGCTGCGCCGGGACGCAGCAGCACGGGCGCCGCCGACACGGACGAAATGATCTGAGCGATGGAGGCGAGGGGGGGCGGCTCCTTGGAGGCGACGGCCCTGGCGAGCCCCCCGCCGGTGAGGAACAGCTTCTCTGGCGACTCGCCGGTGCCGCTCGCCGCCAGGATGCTCCTCAGCAGGAGGCTGCCGGGCCGTCGCCGTACGTGCGGACCCTCGCCGGGCCCTGGGGGCCATCCCCCCGCGCCGGCCGACAGAGAAGCGGGAGAACGACGAGGAGCGGGGTCGGTCTCCGCCGCCTCCTCCTGCCTCAGGGTCCCCAGCGGCGGCGGCGACGGGACGGCCGCATCTCGCGGCGAGGACGGCAGCGGAGGGGAGAGGTCCGCCGTGCCATCGGGGCCCGTGCCGCCGCTCGGGCACGGCCCGGACGGCGGCGGGAGGAGCCGGGCTCCGGTGGCGCCGGTAGGCGACGGCGGCGCGGCGGGGCCGCTGGGGCCCGAGTGCTTGTCCAGGTTCACCTTCGCGCGGAACGCGGCCGAGCAGCGGAACGGACGCTCGTCGGCGTGGGGGCGAGGAGCGGCGGGGGCGGCCGGTGGCGCGGGCGGGAGCGCGGGCGCCGCGGTCCCCGCGCCGTGTTTGGTGGGAGCACCGTTCGATTTCGGCACCGACAAGTCGATGGGCTCGACGGCGTCGCCGGCGCCGGGGACGGTATCCGCCGCCACGACGGACCGCGCCGGCCGAACGGCAAAATCCGGCACGACGGTGCCGCCGCCGCGCGCCACCGCCCCCTCCACCCCCAGCGACCCCTCCGCCTCCCCCGTCGCCGTGGCGACCGGCGGGGCTCGGCACGGCGCCAGCGGCGGGGCGCGGCACGCGAGCGCGGACGCCGCCTGCGTGGGCGACGGCGGCAGCAGCAGCAGCGACGGCGTGCCGGCGACGACGGGCGGGGCCGCCGCGGTCACCGACGGCGGCGCGCGCGGCTTGGGCTTGAGCGCCGGCATGAGCTTGGTAGCAACAGTGGCGGCGAAGGAAGAGGACGGAGCGAGTGGTGGCGCTTTGCTCAGCGGTGGCAGCGGCAGCAGCACCCCCGTCGTGCCCGGCGATGCCGTGGCCGCCATGAGCAGGATCTGCTGGATGTCGGCCAGCTCGCAGCTCGGCCCCGATGGCGCGCCCGCCAGTACCGGCAGTGGCGACCTCGCGGGCCCCGCCCCGGGGGCCGGACGCCGTGCCACGAAAGCCCTCGGGGGCGGGAACGGAGCGGCCGCCACGGCCGTCACCGAGGGCACCGGCGGCGATCGCCCCTCCCTCGAGGCCTCGACCCGTGGCCGATCGGCGCCAGAGGCCGCCGTGCCGGCGGGGCGGGGGGTCGCGACCTCCGTCGCGCGGCGCAGGCCCAGGTAGCCCATGAACGCGACCATGGCGTCCGCCGGGTCAGATGGAACCGTGCCGAGGACGGCGCCATCGGGCCGGAGGGGAGCCGGCGGGTGCGCCGCGGGGTCACGGTGGCGGTGGAGGCGGCGCTCGCGGTGGGGCTGGACGGACGTGGAGCGGTGCAGGTTGTGGTGAGTGCGGTGGTGCAGCTGGAGCGCGGCAGCCATGGGGAAGGCGCGGTCGCACGCCGTGCACACGAAGCGGTGAGACGCGCTGGCGCTGCGCCGCGCATTTTCCTCACACCAAGCCTGGAGGGGGGTGGGGTGGGGGGGTGGGGGGGTGACGTGCACCAATTAAAACATTTAGACCCCAGTGGTGGTAGCAGCAGCAGCCGCAGTTCACAATTGGAGGAGTTAGGAGGAGGAGACTGCTACTGAACCAGGACACGCCTGGTTTGGCGGAAGGGCGGTCTTGCAGGACCACGAGGGATGGCAATGGACTGATCATGGCCAACAACGATGATGACGGTGAACTTATTTGTATCAACTACGGGTGGAACCAGTCACGGTCCCAGGTGATCCGATAATTATCACACTGACGTGGCCGTGAATGGTTCGTCCACGCGTACGATTCAACACGTGTACCGAGAGCTTAGAAACCGACATGGGTCGGGGTGAACCGAGCTGCACCGCTGGCAGAGCCGGCCGGTCGACTCGCGCTCCGCTCACCTTAGCGATCAGCGGGAACTTCTGGCAGCAGAAGTCGACGAAGCCCAGCTGCTGGAAGCCGCTCGGAATGCTGCTGGGATTGCTCTGGATGTGCGCGGGGTCGAGCGGGGGGCTGGCCGTCGTCGCCGCCGTCGGTGGCGGAGGGGACGGAGACATGGGGGCTGCACGCAGTTTGGGGAGCCCCGAGTCACCGTCGTCGTCGTCGTTACTCGGGGTCGTGGCGCCGCCACTGAGGCCGGGGCTTCCGGCGCCGTGAGGAACGCGGTGGGGCTCCGTCGGGTCGCTCGTGGAGGTGGCGGAGATATTGGTGGAGGTGGTGGAAGAAGAAGTGGAAGAGGTGGAAGTGGAGGAGGGGACGCAGTGCTCGCACCTGCACAGAACACGCACGGAACGCGTCGCAGGCGTGAGAACGCGCGAGACGCAGCTCGGGGGTGGTGGCGGCGTGCGTGCGAGCGAGTGTGTTTGTGAGTGTGAGAATTATAGGGAATGGTAGCGTAGCGGGTTAGCAAGCTGCACCAAGAACTTGACAACCAAAGTTTGATCAGCGTACCCATCAAGCCTTAACATGTGCTCGCTAACAGCCCTGAGTGTATGTGGCATGCTTCACCGTGGGATCGTGCCCAGTTGCTCCTCCACGGCTGAGTCCTTGAGGCACAGGGGGCAGCGCCACAGTGCCTCCTGGGGCCCGCCCGGCGCCTCATGGCACTCGCGTGGCCCCTCTGTGGCGCCAGGCCCACAAGCGCTCCCCACGCTGCCCGGCCTCTCCCCCCCCTCCACCTGCTCGTGGGCCACCTGGAATGCCACATGCAGCAGCAAACACCAAATGAACACGGCAAAAGACAAAGATCCCCTGCATAGCCTGAACAGACTGTTGGGGCAAGTGCTGTTAATGAGTGTCGAGGGGAGGTCCAGGACAGATAATCACCACTGGTGTTGACCATGAGTGAGAATCCACAGCTCAACACACACGCTACACACACTACACACACTACACACAACACAATACGCACAACACACAGTTAAACCAAGTAACACGAAACACTCATTACCCTTTTGGAGGACCAGGGCTCATCCTCGGTCTCAGCGGGGCTCAGCGGACGCTTGGCAGTCACGGGGGGCCCCAGGAGCGCGATTGGGGGGGCCGAGAGCTCCTGCACAGGGGGGCAGCCGAGTGGGTGCTTTTGGGGAGGAGCCATCTGAGGCCAGGGGTCTGGGAGTCCCGGCTCCTTCTCGTGGATCTTCATGTGCCTGGGGACCATGGGGGGCGGTGGGGGGCGGGCAACGCAGATGGCAACGAATGATTCGCCAACCTCGCGATTCGTTTACTCGTAAAGACACCAACTTTGCGCGTGGCCGGGTGTGCGCCCTGGCGAGCCGCCGCACCTGTGCATGTTGCCGTTGGTGGTGAATGCCTGGCGGCACACGGGGCAGCGGTAGGGCCGCTCGCCCGAGTGCACCAGCATGTGCCGGTCCAGCGAGCTGGCCGAGCTCAGCGCCCGCCTGCACACGCGGCAGACGTGGCAGCCGGTGCCGCCGTCTCCCGGTGCTCCCGGCGACGTGTCCGTCGCCGCGACGACCGGCGCCCCGGCGGTGCCGACCACCGGCCGCCGGGCGCCGCTGCCGCCACCATTTTGCCGGTGGGCGCGTCCCGGAGCCGGCGAGAGCGAGCGCGGCGAGAGTGCGCCGTCGATCGTGGCCGCCCTCCTTGCCAGCGCCGCCGCCGCCCCGGCGATCGGCCCGCCTCCCACCCCCCGCTCCCCGGCGTCGCGGTCGATATCCAGGTGGTTGTTGTGGTGACCGACGAGGTGGGCGTGAGCGCCGGGCCGGGGAAGCTGCGCCGCCCCCATCACGGCTGACATCATGGCGCTCACCGACGACAAGTCGTCGTCATAGCAACCGTCGGCGTCGTTGGCGTCGCCATAGCAACCAAGCGCCGAGCCCGCCTGGAGACCCGCCGCTGCGAAGCCGCGAGGCGCCATGACGACGCCCATCTCCATGGCTACGGTGAGGGGAGCAACAACAAGAAAATTCAACCATTAAAAAGGTAACGGATGCGTCTTTGGTTGAGGCGGCACCGCCGCTGCCAAGTAACCAGCGCCGGTGTTGCAGGATCGTGGTTATCTTTACTCGCACCTGCTTGACTCATGCAACTCATTATGACACCGCCGGCATGATGAAGTATGCTTTACAGCATCATGGTAAGCGTGATTTTTCGTGGTGACTTGACGTGCAATATAAATGTTAATAGACATCTATAAATATAGTTAATCGTTATTTACGCGACGTTCATCACGAAATCTTGGCACGAACACGGGACACGTGGGGCGCCGGCTATCTTACCGAGGGTGCGGGGCGCGTGCGAGGAGTGGGGCCTTCGAGCGAACGCGAGCCCCTGGGAGCCCCGGGGCCCCCGGGGGCCCTTGGTGGACGCGGAAATTAGGGCGGAGCGCCCGCCCCGCTCCTCCGCTGCCGTCCCCTCGTCATCCTCGCACTCTACCACTGCGGCCGCCAAGGGGAGCAGCAGAGGAAGGGGAGGGTGGGTGGGAGTCACAATCCACCTCTCACTCACAAGCGGAGGCTGCGCACGCACGGCCCATTGGCGAAGGAGAGCAAACAACACGAAGGAGGCGGAGAGAGACAAACAGACAACAAGCTGTGGACTTGGGTCACGATCCTGTCAACTCATCCAATCTCTTGGGGCGGGGGTGGATCTTTACATGCCAAAGGGAGACCATAAGAATGTGGAATTTCCACTCCCAGCTCAGGGAAGCAATGCCGCACGTGCGGTGAAGCAGGAAGAGACTTGCCGGGTTTTTTATGGATGACGAGGGGGACGAGGGGGATGATGGGAGATATTTCGGCACCAGAGGGCGACACTGATACTCCAACCCCCACAAAACACACAACCTACATCCCCCACCACTCACACCCTCTCTACCACGAACAATCGCCAACACTCGCACTACTCCCACCCTCACGCACACACTGTCACAAAACTACACAAAGACAAAGCTCCCCGCATTTAATTTTATATACTGCTGAGGCATGTGCTGTTAGCGAGCACTTATTAAGGCCAGCACCACGCACTCATGATTACACACTGCACCAGGTTCTCGCTTAAGGCAGTCAACCTATGAGTGTCCAGGATCGGTTCACACATTTGCCACCGTCATGAGCGGGAATTGAACTCCGGTTGCTGGGTTAATCACTCCACTAGCGGCTCCACTACTCACCCTCAAGGACACACTTTCACAAACTTACACGATTCCTAAGCGTACTGCAAAACACAATCTCACACACTGACACTCATATCGCTAAAACACCAAACACTCTCACAAACACATACACACATTTACACGCATCACTACCCATACACAAACTCCAACCCACCACCTCCAGGCACAAACTTCCCCACTCTCCATCACTCTCAGTGATAACCTTATTAAGGCCGGCGAGACCGGCAAGGGGGTGGTGGGTGGCCATCACCACGCCCGGTCGCCTTTGTCTGCCGAGTGGCAATGTTTACACATTACTCATTTAAGTCTGAGTCGACCTAGGGGAGATGCAGGACTGGTTCAGATAATCGTCACTGGTGTTGACGACGCCACCCTTCATACACCCCATCACCACCACACGCAAACACCCACACACTGCACCATCACCACCACCTACACTCACACACTGCACCATCACCACCACCTACACACACACCACACTCTCCTCTCTCACACCCGCCACCACCAGATACAAAGACATACGTCCCCACACCCAGGTCGTCAGAGCCGTGAGGAGACCCTCGTCACAGACTGGCCCGGTTCAAACCCACAAACTCCATCAAGCAACAACCACAGCCCACTGGGTGCAGAGCACCACGCACACAGCCATCACACACAAGCCTCCCTGTGTGTGGTGTGTGTCCATGCACCTCCATGTGACACACCTACTCACTCTGCAGAACACACGTACGCCAACACACTGTTGGCGCAAGTTACTAACACACACGTGTATCGTCCACGTTTCAAGGTAACTTCACGAATACGTCACTTCCAAACGACTGTACGTGTAATCCACCTATGTACACAGAGCCATGCATATGCTATATATACACACACACGTGCATGTGATGGTGTCCATGCACACGCGTGTGCACACGCGTGTGCATGGACACCGCGGTGTCGTGTCAGCGATCCCGGAGAGTCGCCTCGAGTGTTCGTCCCCCTCCCTCCTGCCGCCGCTACCCCCACCCCGTCTAAGATTTCCACGAACCCACCCACGGTGGCGAGACACACAAACTCTGCTGCTGCTGCTCCTGCTGCTGCTGCCAGCGGCACACCACATCCTGGGGAGTGGTGGTGGTGGGGGGGGCAGCAGGGGAGAGGGGGTCCACGCGGCTCGGTGACCTCGTCTCGTTAATGAGGGCAATTAAGGAGGACGAGCCGCGCCCTCGAGGGGCGGGGGAGGGTGAAAGAGTGGAGGAGGAAGGAGTGGAAGGGGGGGTCCCAGGCTGGGGGGGGGGTCCCTGGCTGGGGGGGGGGTCCCTGGCTGGGGGGGGGGGCAGCTGCCGTGGCACATCACGGCGGGCGTGACACCCACCGCAGCACGCGCCCCTCCCCCTCCCCCCTCTCCTCCAAGCCGCGGCGCGAGTGGTGCCAAGGAGGAGGGGGCCCAGCGGATATCTGGACCAGCAGAAATCCGCGGCAGCTCCAAGGGCTATATATATATACACATCCGTGGAAGCTTCAACCTAACTTTTATTTTTCTTTGTAGAGTTGTGCAATGCGTGAAGAGCATCTGATAGGTCAAAGGACTCACCTTTAACAAAAGTTTCGCTAAAAATCTACACGAGGTGTAACCCGTCTCAACAAGTGGTCACACAAAGAATTCTAAAGGTTAAAGCGAAATTGTGGTTCTGATAGCATTATTAATACTACAGTATTTACCAAAGCACGAATGCTCAAACTCGAATGCACTTCACGGGTTTAAATATAAACACAGTCTACAGAAGCGCTAACTTGCCGTCAACAAGTTTCCTATTTAGAAATCCGCGAAAGCCCCATGCTGTCTTAAAGTTTGCTCTTGCGTTGATGTGCTTACTGCTGTTGAAACTCTAAAAGTAAGTTCCCTGCAGTGCGAAATGCAATGATATGATGAAGCCTTGGAAGTTCTAACTAACTTCAACAGAAGATTCCTTCAATAGAAATCCGCGGAAGCCCAACCCCTGTTCTCTCACGAAGTCTGCTATTTTAGTTTTCGTACACACTGTGCCCACCTCTTCTCCTTGAACGTAATACGAGAGAGCGGAGATAGGGAGAGGGGAGAGAGGAACGTGTCAAGGAGAGAGGAACGTGGAGAAGGACGAGGGCAGAGAGACAAGAGCGATGTGAATAGGAGAGAGGCGAGCGAGACGCGGATAGGAGAGAGAGAAGCGAGACACGGATAGGAGAGAGGCGAGCGAGACGCGGATAGGAGGGAGAGACTGAGACAATGAGAGGGGCAATACAAGCAGGCAGACAAGGCAGACCTGAGGGACAAGGACACGCGTGGAGACATCCAGTCAGTTTGGATCCTGCCTCTCCTCCTCCCCCCCACCAGCACCACACATCTTCCCTCGCCTGCTTCCCCTGCCACCCCGACGCGGCTCCCCGTGGCCCGGGCCCCGCTCCCCTCTCGCTTCCTTCCTCCTCGCCCCCCCCCCCCGACCCCCCCCCCCCCGACCCCCTCCGTGTGCTGGCGGGGGGAGCGGGCCCGAGTCCCGCCACGTGTGCGCCCAGGGGACACGACACGACACACAGACACACGCCATGACACACACAGACACACACCGAGACACAGACACACGCCACGAGACACACACAGACACACGCCGAGACACACCGAGACACACACCGAGACACACACAGACACACAGAGACACACACACAGACACACTCCGAGACCCACATAGATACACCACGAGACACTCAGATGGGACACACCAAGACAAGAAACAGGGTGTCCATGATGAGTGAGACAGACCACCCTAAGACACCCCGCACCACAACTCCACAAGCTACAACGCGTACCACGATCACGGTCTTCAACCACCACCACCAACTTCATCACCGCCAAATGCAATTACTACAATGCCTCAATAATCACCACCACCACAGAGGCACACAATAACCATCACCCACCACCCACCACCATCACCACTCTGGCACTATCACTGCCATCAACTCCATTTTCACTTCCAAAGAAGACCCCCCCCCCCATCTTCTTATCGGAGACGACCTGGAGAGAGAGAGAGGGCCACTGTTGCGTCTCTCTCATTGTTGTTGTCCTTCACCCGCACCTCGATTAGCTCGGTTGGCTACGTACGGTGCGAAAGAAGTTCAGCACAGGTCACTGACCTCTGGGGAACTTGACGACTCCGCGTCGGCGCTGGTCACGCTACCGGTCGCGGAGCGTCACTGCTTTCAATTTGGTCGTCAATTTGACTCCATTCTCAAATTCCCCATTAAAGACTCCAAAACACTCTGCCAAGTGGTTCGTGTAGCGGCCTCTAGTGGCTGCGAGGTGCCACGTGAATCGGATATCAATTTAACAACCGATTCGATGCGAATGTTTACTTCATTGCGAACCGAGGAATCGATTCACCTCTCAAATCGATATGCCCTCAAGATGAATACTCAAGAATCGATATAAACTATCGTCGAATCGATTCGCCCTCAGCAACAGCGCCGCCCCACAATTGGTCAGGAGTTTCCATTCCCGCGTTGCTTGGCAACGGCCCTGCGGCCACGTGGGCGGGGTCACGTGGGCAAGGTCACGCGCGGGGGGGTAGGGGGAGGAAGAGGGGGCGGGGTCGCGGGGGGTACCGCGGGATGTGGGCAGTGGGGAGGGAGGGGCTGGTGGAGAGGGGGGAGGGGCTGGTGGAGAGGGGGAGGGGGCGAGCGTGAACCAACACCGCCATCAGTAGCCACATGGTTTCCTCTACCCCCCCCCCCAACAACAGCCCCCCGCCCCCCATCCTCGCCCCCCCCCGCCCCCCCGCTTGTGCAGGCAGCACGTGGCAGGCAAACAAAGAGGCAGTGTCTCACTGTCTCCCTGGTGTCCCACTGGTGTCTCACTGTGTCTCCCTGGTGTCTCACTGTGTCTCCCTGGTGTCCCACTGGTGTCTCACTGGTGTCCCACTGGTGTCTCGCTGTGTCCCACTGGTGTCTCCCTGGTGTCCCACTGGTGTCTCACTGGTGTCTCACTGTGTCTCCCTGGTGTCTCGCTGTGTCCCACTGGTGTCCCACTGGTGTCTCACTGGTGTCTCACTGTGTCTCCCTGGTGTCTCGCTGTGTCCCACTGTGTCTCCATGGTGTCTCCCTGGTGTCTCGCTGGTGTCTCCCCGGCTTATCGCCCATCTCCCCAGTGTCCCCATGGTGTATCCCACAAGTAACATCACATTAGACAATTAAAGCCTCAACAGCAGCCGCATGTTGGCAGAGTAGCAGTGTGCACCACATTTAGAG